AGATATACCATTAAAATAATACGATAACTAACTTTTATTTTATTTATTATTTAATATTGATATTTAGTAAAGTAACATTTGATTACTACTTTTTATAAAGTATATTACACATAATATAATGTATTTAGGACCACATTATAATAATCATCATCATCATTCAATTATCAATTATTAATAATTGAATAATAATGATACTACGTTATTTGAACTACAACACGTTTAGTCACTAAATCATGTCTATTAAATTTTGCAGTTTTACACTGTTTATTTTCTGATATAATACGTTTAGGCATTTTATAGTTTATACTCATTTATAGACTAATTAGACAATGATAAATGAATATAATATTTTGTTGTACGAGTATTATGAATAAATATGTAGGATGTATGTGTGAAAAGTATATTTATTTTTATGATAGTTATATAAGTTAGAAGTCATTTTTTGATTGAATTAAAACTATAATTCTGTGAACACGTCATGCCAACGTCACTATTATAAACTTTAACAATGTCAATTGAAAAACCATATTCTTATTGGCATTGAAACGGGATTACTAGTTATTACGATAATATTACAGTAGACAGTGATAAAATTTAATTTATTTCTTTAAACGCCCACTAGAGCTTAATTTTTACAGTATATTATGAAAACACAAATTTAGTAAAAAAACTGTTAACATTTTAAACAAACACTACTTTACTTTTTCCGCAGTAAACTAAAACACATAAGATAAAATAATTTTAACTAGTATACATTTTTTTAAATAATATAACTTAGATAATTAGGTAACAAACCATTTGAACTACATAATTAAACAAAATGTAATTAAGTAATTGAAAAACATTATGTTTTGGAATATAAGTTTTTAAAATCAAATAAATCATAAATTTTTAACTAATTACATTCTCTAATGATACTATCATTAGTGTTTATTTATTTATTTTATAATTAACAGAAGGTACCTTTTGAAGAAAATAATAGATTAATAAATTATACCAGGAATAATATCAAAAATCCGTTTATAATTTCCAAATAATTTATTGAATTATTTTAAAATTTCTATTATTTTTTTCCTAATATAGTACAATATATTATATGAATATCAAATAATATGACTACTTATTAACTTAAGGTTACTTTATAACTTTATTTTTACTTTTTTCGTTTTAACGCCCAAATTTAGTATTTTTTTTAACTTTTAAGAGATATAAAGTGTTTTGTGGATTTTAAATACTAAACACGTAAAAATGCCTAATCGTGCTATGCCAATTATTCAAAATGTGAAAAGTCCAAAATATTCTAAATGATGATTGGATTTGTAGTAAAGTACCTTAAAAGTGGTCGTAGTGAATCAAATAAGTGAAAGAATGTCACTATTCCAGTTAACTCCTATTATAACTAATTATAGTAATTAATTATAACGTATTTACATATTTGAATTAAATAAATACAAATAATAAAGTAAATACACAAAATTAATTACTAGAAATACTGGAAAAATATACATATTATTGATAAATAGATATTTTTTCTTTGTTTTTATTGAATACACTATTGGTATCTATACTAAATAATACTACCACGAATCATGATTCGACCTGACATGTATTCCATGGTAAGGGATTAGATCTATGGATCATGATCCAAATTTTTCTATGAACATAAACTTCTTTTTGTTAAAAATTTTAATTGCACCTTACTAATATTATTTACGAAGATTAAATCAAACGCTTATGTTCAAACATTAAAACTTATCAAAACATTATAATCTGAAACAATATTGGAAACAAACAGAACTTTTTCGTCTATTCTTTCTCTTTATCAATTTAACAACTGTTTGAACGAGTGTGACTTAACTTTGAAGTTGAAATAAGCGCCCACACAACAAAGTATACCGCACTCGTGGCTCTGACACTTTGTGTATAAGTAATACTATACTCAAAGATGCGTACTTCAAAATTAATTATTTAAATTTTACATTTTAATTAAGGCCTAATATAAAGATTTGCTCACACGCGAAAAACAAATGTTTTATGTTATAGATGCCATAATAAGTCTAATGCCGGATTTAGAACAAGTGCCGCCATAGGCCCTTTTAAATATGCCGCCCTAACCCCAAGAAAAAAAAATGTCGAATTTATTTCCCAAATTCATAGATTTACTCCTATGTTTTTTAAATATTATATAATATTAATTTACGCAATTACATAGATGCATAAAATATTTATATGATCTTTTTTCCATTTCTTACAAAATATGTCGTTCTAGACTCGGGTCTCGCGAGCCTAGACGTAAATCCGGCCCTGAGCAGGTCACATAAAATATAGTTAAAGTGTAGTCAACATTTAATGACGTTTAAGTCACGGTAAATCCACTGACATTATACATGCATTAAGCATTTTCAAAAAAGTAGATTTGACTGATTCTTACAGTGAGCGTAGGTAAAACTAATTTACTATTTTTCAAAACAGGTGAATTGAATCTCTTGTATATTTGAATCGTGTAATAGTGCTAAATACTTATAACATAATAATACATACATCGTAAACATTTATCACAACTGAGTTATCGGTACGCCGTTTCAGACAGAACGCGTTTTTATACATTATTGTTGCTTAATTGTCGCGTATTTATACGATACTTATCTTGTCGTATTTAGACGCAATTACTGTAAACTAGTTTTCAAAGGTTGTGTAGTGTAATTTAGTCGTGTAATCGTGCACCATCAGTTATTTCGAGAAATATATACATTATACACTCCTATATCAACTTTATAATGGGTGTAACGAAAAGTTAACGTGACAGACAAATTTTTATTTTTAATAGTTACAAGTTTCGGTTCTATAAAATATTAAAAAATAAAATCCAACGTTGGGTTTAGGTTAGGTAAAAAATACATGTAAATAAATACATGTAGTGATTTCAACACAGTTATACATACATAGTTCTGAAAATCACAATCACAATAAACTAGACGAAAAGCTATTGGAAAATATTTTAAGTAAGCCATCTAAATTCTAAACTCTTACATTCTGAATTACAAAAATAAAACGTAAATACATTAAATTATTGACAGCTCTTATTAAAAGGAATATACGAAATATTCGATCAATTATCCACCCTAATTACTGAATAGTTTATTTTATACTTTGCATGCAAATATTTATATTTTTATTGATGCACTCAAAGAAATCAAATTTAATATATATATATTCTAATAAGAAGTAAAGAGCTAAGTAAAAAATCAAAACACAAAATAGAAACAGAGAATATATTAAGAAAATGGTATTTTTTATAGAAACAGAATTATTATACTTAGACAATCTATACTTATATAAATATGTATTGTATTGCATATTGTTTAATTCTTTATGCTTGCCGCTTGGATCCGACTTATGTGAACATGTTATAATAATAATATGTATATCAGCTAATGTATAAGCCAATCCCATCATCATTACACATTGCAACGTACATGTGTGGGATCTAAGTTTTCATTTGAGATCTCCTTAGAAAAATGTACAGTTGAAATATCGTATATATATATATATATATATATATATATGCATTTATATTATGTTGTTAAAATATTACAAAATATAATATATTATTACAAACGATTTATAAAATATAATAATATACACTATAACAAGTACCTATATAATATGAGATGTTGTGTACAGTTCAGTATACAGATACGTTTTTGGTGTAAAATAGACGTTTATTGCACAAAAAAATAAAAAATAAAAAAAATGAACAAAACGCCCGCAGTTTGTTGTTTGAACAATAACGAGATTAGTTTATTCATAACATTGACAACACAACAATGAAACGTGAGAAAATGTTAAACCGTTGAGTAATTTAACAATTACGAACGTTTCGAGAAAGCGTATCGAAACGTTTGATAATAACGCAACAGCGCGCGTACTTTTTGCCGTATATATACACATTTTATAGGAAATCGTCAAACGTTTAAAATACAAACAGAAGTGTACAGAACTTACTATTGCGGATCGGACGTTATAATTAATTCAATATTATATTGTATATGCATCACGCCGATGGCTGATACATAACGAAACGGGTGTAATGACACAGAACGCAGGCCGAGTAGAACTCGTTTTTTAGACACTCGAAATCAATCATTTCGTCGGTTATATAAACGGCATATATATATATATATTTAATTTTAAATGCACATTAGGACACTCGCGTAAACCGTTCAAGTCATGCACAAATCCATAGTATGTAGGTACTATTATATGTAGTGAGTGAGGCAGGGGAATTTAGTAAATCGTGAACTTATTATTTCAAAACACTACCAGTTTTTATATTTTATAATTGGATCGATGTCATTCGCTACATTTATTTCTTTATGCACTAATGATTATAACTTATAAGTGATTAGGTTTCAAACGACCACTTAAACAAGCCGTGATACTTTTCATGAAAGTCACTAAATATATAAGTAAATAACGATAAAAGGAAATAGAAAATGTTAAAATTGGAACTTGGATTTATTTTTATAATAATAAATTAAGAACGCTATAAGGCAATTATTTTTTATTGCCAATACAGATACCAAAAAATGAAAATTACACAGAATAATCTTTGTTTACTGACGTGTATAATTACATATTATACATATAAATATATGTAAATGAATGATTATTTTTTCAGAATTGTTTACTATAATGATACGTCGTTTATTTTAATTTTGAGTTTCACCTCTTTAAAGATACCGTAAATGTCGTTATTCGTTAACCTCGCATAAATCAACTAATCATACAATACCTACTACGATGAATTGTTGGTTTTGTTGATTTAACAGACAACTTAACTTTGCCACTGTGTGTTAGAGACGAAGTAGGCAAGTACACTAAGTAGAATACAATTATTAACCGTAACTGTATACACATCTATATATTATACATTCGTTTTAAAACATTAAATGGAAAAATATAAGTAGACAAAAGTCAATTTTTTCTAAATTGTTTTTTTTTTTTAATTTTCACGATAAAAACAATAATCTCGGTTTAAATTACATAAAATATTCAAAAAGATATTTACAATTGACTGAGTAAAATCGTACGGCAACAAATTAGTGGGTTTTTACATGTTCGAAATCAACTGGTTCTAAATTATCTAAACTAAACGAATTTTCGTTCAATAAAGTGACCAACGAATCCACTGGCCTATTTAGGTGGGAGTCGAACTTTTCTCCAACGCTCCAAATTGTCTCCAGGTCGAAATTCTTCCGAGCATCTTTTGTTAATAAGTGTACAGCTATATTACCTGAAAAGTAGACAATAAATATTATCATGAAAACACGATATATAAAGGAATAAGTAATATATTAACAATACATTTCCAAACTATATCGAATTAGATACTCTCATCGTTATTAAAATAAAATTTAATTTAATATATATTTTGAACGCTATAAATATTAATTTCTAAAATACAAATTTTTTTAGATCAATGACTGATTTGAACTATTCAACTCGTATGTTCAAGTTATCAAAAATGTAATATAATTAAAAACTAAAAAATAGGTTTAAAAAGATTCTTATACAACCAATAAATTATATTAATTAACTACTCAAAACAGTTGTAACAAATATATTTTTACATGTTTTGATATCGTCAATAGCCATAAAAGTAAACACAACATAACACAATATTTTTAAACAAAAAATAATGAATTGATTTTATTATTTTTTTATTATTGCACTATCGTCCATTACACTACTTAAAATGTATGTTAAGAAATCCATCACTCGTTAGTATATTGTATAAAAAAAATACTAGTGTAATGCAGTAATGTCAGTAATACTGAGAATCCATGTTAATTGACTAGACAGTCGTGAGAAATGAATACCAAGTTACAAATAAAAATGAAATAATAATATGTTAATCACGTAATTCACTTTTCTTTACATTGTGCATCGGTAATTAACTTATAACAGTCAACAGACATACATTATACAGAAACAAAACTATATCAAACTAGGATATTGTAGGACATGAATTCACAATTGAAATCTCAAATTAGTAGATATATTTTAAGTTCACAAATAAATTGTATTGATTAACAAATATGTACTAAAATTGTCAAACATCTACTAAAAATTGTAAAATCAAGAAATATGCCCTTAGATGAAAAAAAAATGTAACGGTATGCACTAAAAGCTTTTGATGAATTATTTGCAAAGTCATATAATATAAAATGGATTATAAAGCTTATAAAATAATATCAATGTAATAAATTTAAAAAAATAAAATAAAATAGGTATCTATAAAAAAGCCTTCTCATTTGTATCATGGATAAATTCGACAAATCGTATTATTAATAATTGTACGTACGATTCCCTCACATACACATAAATATAACATCAGGAAAAATACATAACAGTACAACTGTCCCTTATAGTACTGTATTAAGAAACGAATTTGCCCGACCAGGTTAGAAATCTCAACGCCGGTGCCGACGGCCGATGAGGATTTTTATAGCATACAAGTTCATCATAAATAGTATCGTATAATGATCGCGCACACCATGGCTAAATAATTAACTATATGCGAGCGAGTCAAAGCACATATACAGAGTGATTCACCAAACACACGCTTACCCCGCTTTTTTTTTCAATAACGCAGTAATTAAAAATCGGATTTTAACAGTTTTTAAATGTACTCAGAAGAAACCATATTTTTAAATTTTCGAGATTTTTTGTACTACAAATTCCGTGTTTTCAAATGAAAACCTCCTTTTCTAATGTAAATTATTTATCAAATGAATTATTAGATTATTTCACGAAATAAAATTAAAATTTAGACAAGTAGTTTTTGAGTTATTTAATTTGATGTATTGAGAATAATAAGTTCATGATAATGAGCTTGGACTATGAGAGAAAAATGATTTAAACATTAATATTAATCTATCAAAATTTAAAATTTTTTTAAAATATACTAGATTCAATATCACAACTATTTGGTATTTTTGTAAAACCGTGTTTAAAAACTATTATCCTTAGTATAAACAATAATTCAAAAAGTATTCATTCTAATATAAAATTAGTCACGCATAACAAAATGTTAAAAATCTAATTTATTAAAAAATTTACAATAAAAAAGGAGGTTCACATTTGTAAAACTGAAGTTTGTATTATCACAGGAGAAAACTCCTTAAGTAGTACAAAAATCTTAAGGATTTGAAAATATGGTTTTCAAGTTCACTCGAAACTTCTAAAAACAAGAGTTTAAATTAATCAATTATTAAAGGAAAAACGGGGGTAAGCATACTTGGTGAGTCACCCTGTATAGTACAGCACTGTCAGTCATAACGACCAGTTCATAGAATATTATATTATATACACATAAGAATTGTATGGCTTTTTTTGTTTTTGTTTTGTTTTTTATCACAGCGCGCCGATCGACTGTACGCCGCGTTGTTCGTGGCGCGGCGCAGCGTCCGTTGATTTCTTCTCCAACAATGGAAGACCGTATACACATACCTACAGACGCTGCGCGTCGTCATATTAAACAACGACGCGGGCGTGAAATCCGTCTATGAAATAATGGTCGCGCTGTCCCGCAGTAGTAATTTTTGGGTCACGACGATATTATAATATTATTATCATACACAGACGTACAAGTATACACTGTTTAAATACGTGCATTTATAATGCGTGCGTGTTTATATATTTTTATAATATAAAATAGTGAGGAGCAAATAATATGTTCATACACTGCAGTGTATTCGGGGGCGTCATTTCACAATTTTTAAGAAGAAGAAGAAAGGACCAAATTCGTCGACTTGGAAAATAAAATCACGGTCATGCATTTGTAGCTATTATAGGAATAGATATAATTTTTCCGCAGTAGAAAACGGGTGTAAAACTTACACGCTACAGGTAGTAAGTACGTCATCACACTGAAATACTATTATATGAAACATTATAGATTGCTAAATATCGAGTGCCCAAGTCTACACTAAGTAGCAAGCACCAGTAATACAATAAATCAATACATTTTTCATTTATTTTTAAGAATTTTAGCAATGAAAATTTAAATGATGAACTATCAATGCAAAGTATCGTAAACAATAAAGTTTTTTAATACAACTATAAGTACTATTGGAAGTATACATGTGTCCCGGGGCGAAGTGACCGGCCGCCGTTATATGAAAGTATACCTAAAATGATGAAGAAATAACCTTTAAAGTGGGGGGTCTAACTCTTTTTTTTTTTAGTTATGGGCAATTTAAGTTTTTTTAAACCAAACCAAAACTGCCACGGATTTTTTTATGTTACTCCGAAACTTTTCAACATTTTAACATAATTTTTTTTATTTTAAAGCTATTTAATTACTTAAAACTTAAAACTTAATAACTTAGTTATCGTGTCATCTGTACATAGACCTGTTATTATTAATAATTTTAGTAATTTGTAAAGTTTCAAAATGCCAAGATTATTTGATTTTCATTTGGTCACATTGCTGATATGCATTTTGTTACTTATTGTTATTTGTTAACTTATTACATTATTTATATCACCTCTAGTGAGTTTATGCCTAAGTTAGACTTGATGTTTAGTAAAATTATAAATTGCCAATGATTAAAATCACAAAGACCTGTATGTTTAGCTGCGTATAACTCATGATGAACGATATGAAACCAAACTTATAAGGTATTCTAGGTATTGTTCTTGTAGAATCATACACCAAATAACTCATACCAATATTAATTATTTTGAGTAATGAAATTTAATTTTAAAATCTAACTTTTGATAAGAAAATTACTTTTTCAATTAATAATAATATATACAAGTTTGGTTTAGTTGCGATGTTTTAAAGGACAATAAATAGCTTTAAAATAAAAATTATGTTAAATGTTGAAAGTTTGAAGTAACATAAAAAAATCCGTGGCAGTTTTGGTTTGGTTTAAAAAAACTTAAATTGCCCATAACTCAAAAAAAAAGAGTTAGACCCCCACTTTAAAGGTTATTTCTTCATCATTTTAGGTATACTTTCATATAACGGCGGCCGGTCACTTCGCCCCGGGACACATATAAAATAAATTTTCACCACAATGTTTATTTATTATTATTTAATTTGGATAATTGATTAAGGAATTACTGATTTTTCATACAATTCTTATGGTGGGGTATTTTCAAGCTACCTATTCTTACCATTTTAAATGACGTCCCCAAATGTATAATATTATACATTAATATAATATTTCTAAAACACTAAATTGATTAGAACAGCCAATAGTTCCGATGCGATCTCTTAATTTCCTCCTCCCCACTAGGTTCATCAAAATATAATAGTAAAATATATAATGGTAAATCAGAGTATAAACTAGGTTGGGTAGCTGGTATATGATGGTACCTATATATATATAACGTAAAACATATAATATAATAGGAATGACATTCAATTCTTATTGTTCAATAATAATTCATAATTATTTTCGTTGGCCGATTACGTGTGCTACCTTCCCTGAATTTGGATTTAATATAATACGGCCTACAAAAAAAAAAAAAGTATACAAAATGATCTGCTTAATTCGAAAATTGAAATTTTTTGTCAAAGTTAAATTTTTGATTGAATTTTTTCCATAAAACAGTTTAATATATAGTTATTAATCAGTAAAAAAAAAAAAAAAAATCATTAAACAAGCATAGGTACAGTACTTTGTAAGTACCTATTTTATATTTTTATTTAATTTTGAATTTGTCAATACTTATATTTTGAAGATAAAAAATATATGAGACGTCGACATTTTTATCCATTAAAATCGGGGTATCCGTCTTCTGCGCATGAATAGCAGTAATAATAACTTTATGGTAAAAATTACAAACTCACCTATGTCTAACGCAATCCAGTCGATAGGTTTCTTGTTCACTATTCTGGGTATGCTATCCGATGGTCGGCGCTTTTTCTTAAAAAGCTTATGGACAAACTCGGCGATGGACATCAAGTGTTTTTGCGATTTACCTGTCGCTATTACGATGTAGTCGACGTACCTCACATTGGCAGGAACAGTCACGACGAACAGATCCGAGGCGTTGTTTTTTTGAAGAACTTCGACTAGATGCTCCACTTCGAATACTCCGGATACGCCACCTGTAAATGTGTTCGACGTAGGCGTTTAAATAAAGAAATAAAATATTTCTATAAAAGAACCATTTAAAACATAATCTCAAGTTTTAACATTTAGCAGCTATATCACTTTTTACAAAAAATTTTAACGATTTTATCCGTCAGCATGAGACGTCACACGTCACTAATTTATTCCACCTAAGTTATAGTAGATGCCATAAAAAATGCATGCGATTCACATATTATTATTCACGGTAAATGATGGATAACGAAAAATACCAAGTGGAAAAGTTCACAATCTTTATACATTTTAGTAAATCTACTTTTTATTAAATTTAATTTGGGGTTTATTGTGACCTTTTTAAATCGCTATTATTTTTTCATCATCTAATAAACACAAAATGTCAAACAAAATCAATACATTATTTTTAAACAACATTTATTTAATAGGAGTATACTGTGTTGAAGGTATTGTAATATGTCCAGACATATAGGATCATAAAAAACGAATATAAATACTTGACATAATATATATGTGATATATCACATACGTAGACATTCGCGATAAATATATAAGTAGATACTGTGAATGTCCGCAATTGGTGAATGTTAATATATTGATTAAACTTGTACTAATCATAAACATTCACAAGTGAATGTCGACATTTATACATAGCGATTTTGCTGATGCTTGGTAATATCGAAATTGTTTTGTTTGAATGTAATTTTGGGATGATGGGAAAGTCAGTAAAATAATAACTAGTAATAATATATAGTAGTAGGCATACAACCTATAGTTTTGATAAAATATATTAGTACCGTACCCAGCAACTTTTATATTATATATATATGTATATATCGATAAAAGCTTCGCTCACTATACTGCCATATTATCATTCATTGCAGTTATAACTTATATACAAATGATTTGCATAGTAATTAAACTTTTTTTTTATATACACTAAAAATCAATTTTGATTGTACAAAGAAAATGTAATATTAATCACCGATATACTATAAATATATAAAAAAAAATTGTAAAATACAATAAACATAATTTAAACGAATAATAAGTACATATCATAATAATAATTTATTGATTAAATTAAATATGTTATATTTTTTATAATTATCTATAGTCTATACCAGAGGTCACCAAATGGCGACCCGCAGGCCGCGTATGGCCCACAGACAAAGAATAATTTTTTCAAATGTTTGTAATATCACTAAACAATTTTCTAATTTAATTGTATTTACAATCAGTTTTTATTTTAAATTTTTTCAGATATTTTTAATATTAATTATGATTATAATGTTACAATGGCAAATAATAAATAAAAAAAATAATATTTTCATTACATCCAATTTTAAAATAATTTTATGTAGGTATTAAAAATATGTACATAGAATTTTGATGGCCCGTGAAAAATTTTTAGAAACCTAATGTGGTCCACCAAAAATATTAATTAGTGACCCCTGATCTATACTTTATGTTAATATAAATTAAAACTGTGTTATGTATGTCTACAAGTACATCACGTAACATATATTACGTAAATGATTGTTTATAAATACACACTACACACATTTTTTTTAAATTATTTAATTTTAAAGTAAAATATTCTTTGTTAGTCATATTATATTATTTTGGTACTTAAAAGGGAACATTAACAACTCTACTTTTATATAGGAAATTAAGTATTAAATACATTTATTTTCTCTCTTAATCTTCTTAATAAATAGACCAAACAACTAATACCTAAATTTATCAATAAAAAATAAGTATTTACTATAATTTTTTCGTTCTTGTCATGATAGTAATATTATAATTTAAACAAATTAAATAAAAACCACAAACTTACTCGGCTTTATAATATGTTTTGAGTATACTTCATTAAGTATAGATAATACTGATAATAGTATAAGTTACTGTAATGAAAATATTAAATTTGAATTCAATAATAAATCATTGTACACGAAAAAACAATTTTGAGCGAAAGAGTTTAAATAGGTATGTACTATATTTCTTTATTTAAATACATTGTTAACTAATAACAGAAATTACGGAAGATAATATTTTTAGACTAATTTATATATTTTGAAAATTTCACTGCATAAAGTAAATTTAATAATGTACATAAACGTTTTATGTCTCCAAAAATAATATTTTTAAATTATACACACAATAATTATTGATCAGTTATTCATTATTGTATTTGATATTTATAAAAAAAAATAAAATAAAATAATAATAAAAAAATTTCAAGGCCTATAAATAGCTTAATTATAATATTTTGAAAACTATTACATACATACAAAATAATAATGCAAACATTTGGTGAAAAGTATCTACATTTTAAGTATCTACGAATATTTTTTTTGAATTACAGCAAAAAATAAAATTGATTTTTTTTGAAAAAAAGGTTTTGCGTTAAAAATTCCAATTTTCCTTAAGTTAGTTTTGGTTATTTTTACAGTTTATTTTAAAAATTACTGGGAATTTTAATTCTCAACAACTTGTGTACAAATACACACATACACACATATATCATTGTAAGAATCAATATATTCATTACTCCGTTTAGATATTTATCAGTTAAAATAAATTAAATCATTTAAGGAAGAATAGTTATTTTTTTATAATAAGTATTCAATTTTATTAACATTTATATTGCAAAAGCTTATAAAAATTACAAATGTATTATAATTGGCTAAAAATAATGCATAATAATATCATATGATATATGAATATAAATATTTAATGAAAACTTCACGTCTTTATAGATATTCTTTTTAGAATTATTACAACAAAATAACGATTTTATCAATTGGTATTGAGTAATACGTAAATATTCCAAGTTTCACGCAATAGTTCGTTAGTTATTCCCAATTTTTAAGAAAAATACTAGAAATAGAAAGGACTTCCTAGTTCTAATCCCACAATGTAGGTACTACGATCTTACAAATATTACTATGTTAGACTTTTTTTTATATATCGTATCATATCGATATTATAAATTATAATCCTCATCAAATGCTGTATAGCTTCAAGGTTAAATAAATAAATAATTAATATAAACGTATTAATAATATATAATTATAGGAATGACTTGACGATAACAACGCTATTCGACATCATAGGTATAAGCCTAGATTGCTGACCACTGATGTCCACTGGTAGATAATAACGGTTCTTGTCCGGCCAATTTCTTATTGAGCATATCGAACACGTGTTTGGGCAGTTTGCTCTGTAGCATTTTGCACGGAAAAAAAATTTGGTTGTAGTAAATATTTAGATAGTTTCTAGTTGGTGTAATAAATAATTTAGTTGTGTCAAACAATATGTTTAGTTAAAAATACTAAAATGAATTAGTTGAACAATTATAGTCAAACTAACTTGCTTTATAGTTATTGCAACTATATAAACTAGTAATTCAAATATAACCATATGAAATGGTTGGTGTACAAATATTAAACAGTTATAGTAACCATAACCAAGGCGTAACTTTCCCGCCTAATTCAAAAGTTAGAATTTTGTACAAATAATAATAAGACTTATGAAATGTCAAATGATTAAAATTTGGTTTAAATACAATAAAAAACATTTGAACATTTCGAATAACTTTTGTCACGTTACACATGTGATAGCTAGTTCAAGGAAAGATAGCTTGCATATAGGTACTCCATGATGTGTTATTATTATATATTTTAGTAATTAAATGGCATATTATAGTAAATTTGCGTGTTTATATCTAATGCCTACTTATATAGTTCCAATTAAACGATATTCGTAAAAAAGGGTTAATCGTTTAAACGTACGAATATGTAATTTCAAATAATCTAGAGTACTCGCTATTAAATCGAATTCCATGATTTTACAATCTTCCCAATAATCGTGATTTTTGATTTTGTATAAACATATACATGACGTGTTTAAAGAAGTTCCAGGACTTGCTACATTATTATTACAACTTATAAGCATTATTATAAGTTTACAATATTGTCATCGTCATTCGTTTGTGACCTGTGTTTGCGTCTGCATCTGCTTTTGCGATCAGATGTGTAAAATATGTATGATTTGTATTTTTATTATTTTTTTTGAATATTTTATTATTAATACATTTGATACTAAATCAATTACCTAATATATACTATTTATATTTTTAATTAATTATTTAATCTTAAACACAAAAACAAATTAAAAGTAGAATGATAAAATAAAAATATTAAGATTTAAAAAAAAAATTAATTTGCTTAAATAATTACTTTCGCCATGTTTTGACTAATCTGATAGGTAGTTAGGTAGGTTAGGGCGATGGACTCTTGTAGGGTTTAGTATAGGGACACCTAGTCCAGGTTCAATTCCCGAACTCGATACAATTTAGTTTTTGCATTTTTTTCATATTTTTGCAGATACTTTTTAACCACAAAAATATAGTTATTTTAACTATAATAACTGGTTAATTCTACTATTCATTATAGTTAAAATTTTAACTATAATTTTATAGTTACATTTTTAACTACTATTTTATAGTTATTCTAACCATGTAGATTCAACTAATTCATTTTAGTATTCCCAACTATACATTTATTGTGTCACTATATTAACCTGAGATTATGGTTGGGTTAATCATTTATGTGGTTGTAACAACTATAATTTTTTTTCCGTGTGTACAGCACGGTGAGTTTATTGCACAAAATCATCGTGTTGGCTAGGTGCTCGACGCTTACGGGCCACATCTCCGCGTTCTAAATCAGAATCACCCATATTCACCTCCTGTACGAAAATCTGCCGATTCATTTGACGGTTTGTTAAGACCGGTGACTTTAATTCGCGGACAAACGTTGTCTGTTCAATATCCTTGGTTGACAGCCATTTTTTAAGTCGGTCCGATTCGATTTCTTGGTCTTTATTGTATTCCCAACTTACATAGATGAAATAACCTAGGAAACACAGGCCAGCTAAGGCAGACAAGGTCTTCAAGATGTTCATGGTGAACATCCACGAGTGAACGTCCAAAAGC